TTACATGGTGGGAGATTTTTTAAATTTCATGATTCATTTATTTAAACAAAAGACTTTAGGCTATAAAGTAGCTGCTCTTTGTCATCATCATCTGCACAGGACACTCAAGGCGTTCACATGAATCTCTTTCCACTTTTGTCGCTCCTGATGACTTTCTTTGCTGTTCCCTATGATAGACTGTTTTTTTTCTGTGCACCTAACGTCTCCCATGATCGTTGCTGTTTTTATTTTTCTTGAGGCAATCCAGTTCAGCGACATCCTCTTCCCTGTATAAAGAAGTAAAATCTCAAGTTTACAAATAAGTCTCATTGATCTCATTATCATGCTTAATTAATTTTACATCCAAATAAATGTCTCGGGCAGCATGGCTAGGCCTTTAGGCCTAACCATGCCAAGTTGTTAAATAGCCTACAAATTAGCACTTCGAACAGAAAATATCGCTTTTCATAAATTAAAAGTTACAATAGGTTTGACTTCTATTTCTAAATAAAGTTTTGGCTGCTGTGACTGTATTTATAAGTAGCATCCTGTCAAATGGAAATATAGGTACTTCAGGTTAATTAAATAAACTTTGTCAACATTTCATGCCATTTTTCATAGTTCTTTAAATTTAAGAATAAAACTTACCTACTTTAGTCTTTCTATAATAATTTCTTTGATTAAAAAATTTCAGAATAGACAAATGACCAGTGTCCAGGAACTGGAAAGACAGTTTCAGGGACTGGCAATGCCTCAGGGTCCTGTCAGACATGAGGTTTGTAAAAATGTAGACTTGATCAGTTGCTACTTATCTACATTGAAAAGAATAATTTCAAAACATTTATAGACCCTTGTATGTAGTGTTTAACTTGATTAAAAATGGGTAACTTTTGAATTTCACAGCTGTTAAAAAATGCTCAGTAGAAAATTTTTGCCAGAGAAGCTGTTCATAGTTTTATAGAGGAATAATCTGTATTTGTGAACTTTGCACTATAAAGAACACTTACATTTACAATGTTTTAGTTGTTAGACCACTACATTATCTTTTCAAAAATTGCAGAACAACCTTTGTGTTGTTTATCTCACTCAGCTGTTTAAATAGGTTTCGAAGTATTTATGTCATTGGTAGTTATAAGAATATGGAAAATTAGATGTTTGTAACAGTTTGCTTACCTTTGAAATTAAATTGAGTTTTATTCATTGTAAACCTTTTATAAAATTCTCATTTAAATAAAACTGTTCATTCTTAATGGTATTAATCTGAATGAAATTTAACCGTTCTCAATCAGTGAACACTTTTAATTTAGAAAATTTGAAATTTTTCTTTAGTCTAAAAAATTTTGGGACGATGACCTACATAAAGCTGGAGACGGGCAGCATAAGATGTTTCAACATGGTTGGACTACACGAGATGACACTTGGACTTTCACAGAGTCTTCAAACCAAGTTGGTGTAAATATGGTGGAGTATGTGCTTGGTGGATCTCCAAACAAATTGGAGGCTGGAGCTCTAAGCAGAATTAAACCATTTGTAAGTTTTTGTATTCTTATCTCAACATTATTAAAATAATTAATGTACAAAGCAGTTTATACAGTCTGGTCACATTTTATTATAGGCTTGGATTTTTACCAGTTATACAAAGCATGCTTGATTTAAAAAAAGATGTATTGTTTGAATGATTGTCTTTTTATATTAGTACATTGTATTAACAAATGCCAGAAGAAAAAGTTTTTATCGTGAACCAATTGCAATACTTCAGTTAATATGTTAGCAATTAGATTTGAAGTTTTATTTTCATGAATAGTTTTAAACTGTACCAGTGTGCATTTGTTTTTATTATTAACAATAGCTAGAAGCATGTATTTGGTATGTATTAATCAATAATATCTGTTGCAAAAAAGACGCAGTATGCTCACCATCAGGTTCCACAACAAGACAATATTGGTGAAGATAAAAAAAGTAAAACGCCATCACCATTCGAGGATGGTCAAGGGGATGATGGGAAGGATGGCATGCAAGCGAATGGCATGATGTCCAATGGGTTGGATGATGGTGGTTACAGGTGAGATATTTTACAATTATTTGAGTAGTTTCAGATCAGAGATATTTTTATATTAGACGAGTATCATCACAATGGTACTTTAATTACTTCTTGTTTTAAGCCAACTTTGAACCAAAATAATACTTATCAGGGGAAGTCGCCAGACATCTCCAGCGGATGATGAAAGACAGGGGATGAACATGGATCCCCAAAAGCTTCACCTTCGCGACGGAGGAGATTTTCTAGATAATGGCCAGCCTCCAGTTGGTTTTGGTCTAGATCAACATCACCATCAGTTTGAACAGGTTGGAATTGACCACCTTTCATATGGTGGTGATTTCAGCAGTCAGCTAATGCCAAATATGGATAGTCCCAACAATTACAGTATGGATTACAGTCAGGTATTTTTGCCTTCTTTATTTTAAAGATTTTAATTTAATATTCAATTATTCAGTATGTTCATACTATTAACATTTCCACCAGCAGCTATTGCAGAGACAGCAACAACCCATAGCTATGCTTGCACCTCAACAACCATATGGGCTTCCAGGCCAGCAACCAATAGGTATGAAATTCTTGAAATGTGGCCTTCCCTCTACCCTTAATTTTTTTGTTTTTTAATTGGGCTCCCTCCCTCCTTGCTTTTTGTATTTTATATACTTGTATACATTTTTACACTTTGATTTCAGCTTTTAAGAAATGTGGTTCCATTTTTATTTGTAGTCGAATTGTTATATCATTAGGATTAGATTGATTTAATGTATGTATTTATGTATGTGTATATATATATATGTATATATGTATATATATATGTATATATATATATTGCTAGGTGATTTAAGTGTCTTGACAGTTGGTTAAAGTAAAAGTTACTAAAGTTCAGTGTTCCTGGTTGAAATTTAAATAATTTGGTAAACTAGTTTAGTTTGTGAAATCGTTGAAAAATATCCCCATCTAATGTGTTTTGGTTTATTCCTCACAAGTGGCTTCCTTAGTACAAAACTGCACCAGCTATTGATGTATGATAAAAGCTGTTGTTTGTCAGATTTCTATTTGTATTTAAATAAAAACAGTAAAACTGATAAGTTAAAATTCACCACAATTAACTTTTCTTAAATAATTAGAATGTTGATAAATGTACTCATTTTCTTAAAGCTGGTCAAATTTTTTGAATCTTCACTTAACCAAAAATCCTTAAATTCCAATCCTTTACCCAGACATTAAGTAATACTATGTATTTTCCCAAAATTACTACTTCATATAGAAACTGTAACAAAAAAGGCACAAATTTGTGAAATTTCATTTGTATAATAAGACTGCAGATGTTAATTAACTGCAAGAACTGAAGTATTTATTTTTCAAACTGTATTGGTGGAGTAAAAACAAATTTTCTTTGTTTATATTTTGTTTTATTTGTGCATGGCTTTTAAGTGTGTGCTTGGCTCTCTTATATTGATCTTCCTTCAGGGGTGGCAGGCCCAAATTCTATCACGCAAGGACCATACGTACTAGCCCAGGACCCATACGTGACGGCGGGCGTTCCGTTCGCAGGTCAGCACCCCCACACCTAACCTTTAATCCCACAACTTTTACTAACAACCCTGAAATCTTATCTCACATCTTCCCCTGTAGCAACAATTGCAGTCTTCACTAGAGATCTTGCTCCATCTTGTTTCTTTATCTGTCTTTCTTTACTCTGGTAGGTAGCTTTTCTTTTGAATTTCTAACCTTAAGAAATTTAAAAATAAATTTGAATTAGCATGTTTTTTAACATCTTCATTTAAAAAAATAATTTAAACATGTTTATACTTGTGCATTTTATTTGTGTTAACTATGTAGTTATTCTTAGTTTAATATGTATTTAAAAAGGTTATTTTTAAATTGTAGTTCTACCACTATAGTGGAATCAACTTATACCTTGTGAATTATACTGAAATTAATGAATAAGTATTTAGTAGGTTAAATGATACATTTTTTGGATGTTTTCTATCATTAAACTTAAATATTACAGTAAACCTCCAGTAAGAGTATTAAAACAAAGTAAACATTTCATTATCTAATAAAAATCTAATGCTGTATTATATTGAAATTATTGGTACACTCCCTCTTTTTACTTAACAATTAATAAAAAAAGGGTAGAAATTTTAGCTGAGTTTTGTTCAATTACATTTATGCAATAAACTTAATAATTTAAGCATCTAGAGAATGCATATATCTGCTCTGTAAACAGCATAAATTTTTGTGTCAGGGGACATCTAATGTCGAGACAGTCGTTTTGTTTTGCCAGTTTAAACTCATGTTGCTCCATTATTTAAAGATTATTTTTTTTAAATGTCAGTTAATACACAAGGTATAATATATAGAAAGTTATAATTTTTTAGTTAATTTCCTTATTTAAAAAAAAGTATGCTGAATCATGCATGTAATTTTAATTTCTTTTTAGTGTTACACAGGTTTTTTAATGTGTGCTTTATATGTTTTAAATAATTAATGTATGACATAAGTTATTAATGTTCTTAAAGGTTTTTGAATTACTTAAATATTAAATTAGGATACAAGGATTCAGCAAAAAAATAATCATGAAAACGTAATTGTCTTAAAGCATTTACTTAAATGCACTACTTGAACATAAATTTTATCCTATTACACAAAGCATATACACTTTTGAGTGGAATTTAGATATTTTGTTTGGTTTGGTTAGAGCTGAGATAGTGAATCAGAATGAAAAAAATGGCTTTAATAAGTGTATCTGTAATGCACCAAATTTCAGTCAAGTATATTGGAAAATCAGTACTCAGTGTTTTTTGTTGCTTAAAGTGAGTTGATGGAACACACCTTTCAGTTCACAACAATGTTAACATAAACATTACTCAAGATTAAAAACAGTTCACCTCAACATTAAAATAGGTCAAGGATAGGATAAAGTTAATGTGAACTCAGTGGATGTGTTGTTGATTTTGTGTTTTTTCTCACCTCATGCATTTTTGCAATCTTGGAAATATTTGTGAATTCATAAATTGCATTGTAATTGTTGGACACTTTAAAAATCTATCAAAATTTAAGTGCTGTGATTTCAATAATTTGAAAAACAATTTACATTGTTGGATTTCACAAACTTAAAAACATACTAGCTAGTTGTACGTTAATCACTCAAGGTAAAATAAGGAATCAAAACTTAAGTATGGAAGACAAAGACGCAAGTCTTGTAGCTGAAGATAAATGTGTTGATCTGAGCAATAGCCCTGAAATGAAGCAGGAAAAGCATTGTGTAAACACTGAAAACATGTTTTTGTTGGAGGATGTTCGTGTAGTAGAAATTGCCACTGTAGATAAATTGGATAAAATTGAGACTAGTCTATTAAACCTTAGCGATAGTGAGAATAATAGAATTAGTTCCAAGTCAACAGAGAAACAAAAAATCTCTAAAGAAGATTCAAAAACAATTTTTAGCAAATTTAACACTTTAAAAGATTGTTCATTTTCACAAGAGGTAATTTCAAATGTACAACAAAAAATAAGTGCAAGTTTGCAAGATTTCTATTTGGAGATATCGAACCTACCAAAAGAAAGCAATCTAATGGGATTTGATTTCAAAATGCCTGCTACTGAAGTGGTGACACCTACCAAAGAAGCCAATAGTGGAGACACTGGTGTTGACTCTATATCACCTCCATATTCCCCTACAAAAACAAATCTCTTACTTTCAGAACAGTCATTTAACTTAAGTGAAAAAAACGCTACTGAAGTTGATACTTCTAATGCTGAAGTGTCTATTTCCATTGCCCAAACATTTTGTAAATGTTCTTTTGGAGAAATTAGTAGCAAAGCTACTATGTCGCCTATTACTTTGTTCTCGTCAACAAAAGATCCATTTTACCACATTGGTAGATTTTTAGAAAAGTTAAAAAAGGAGCCAGATGAAAGGCAACAAGAACTCTGGGAGTTTTTAAATAATGTTGTAAAATCTGGGCTACAGTCATTGCCTTCCAATATTGAAAAACAAGAACAAAGTTTATCACAAGCTACTGAGCTGCAAGACAGTATGGCAATTGAAAATGAAACTAAACCTGATGATGAAACAACTGTTGACGTAGCTTGTCCAACTGAGTTTTTGAAGCTTGCTTCTACAGATTTTGCAGTTACAAGTGGTTCTATTCCAGATAAAGATGACAATTTTAACACCAGTACAGATAATTTGAATATGCCAAATCATCTCTCTTCCAATGATTGTGATTCAATGGTGTTGTATGATTCTAGCATTGTAAGGTCTGCCCTCGATTGCAGATCTTTGAGCAGTGCTAATTTGTGTCATATTCAGAATGCAAATAGAGTTGACCAAATGTCTAACTATGATTCAAGTATTGTTAGATCAAAAGTATGTGCTAGTTCACTTGAAGAAATCTCTCCTTTTGACTTTAATAGTGTTCTGCTGAAGTTGTTGACCGAGAGCAAATCTAGTATGTTTTATTCTAAAATGTCTGTTAGTTCTATTAATGCTTTAAAAAATATTGACTAACATACTAACACAATTCTTTTTAACTAAACTTTATTTAAATATCTTGTGTTTAAACTTCTAATATAGAAATACAGAATACAAACTTCATAAAATTTTACTAATTGTTAAAAATTGCTGTTAGTGTTAATATTTTCTTATGTAGAAATTTTGTATTAAAAAGGATATTGACTCTAAAGCCATTTTTAAAAAAAATCAAGTTTAACCTATGAATACAAATGTTACCCTCAGGTCCATCAATGATGCATCAGTACTATCAAATTCCTATGATGTTTCCCACTGCAAACATCCCTAATCTCCTACAAGGGCAGCAGACACCACAGAGTCTTCAACAGCAGCAGCAGCAACAACAGCAGCAGATGCTGCGAGGACAAGCTGGCTCTCCTGCACAAAGTGATGGTTTTGGATCATCTGCAAACCAGATGTCCAATCAGATGCAAAGTAAGCCCTAACTTTGAGGGTTGTCTCTATGGTTAGGCGTTGCCATGATTTATCTTGCCAAAGCATTTAGTTAGTTGAATTTTAAGTTATTTCCCAATTTCTAAAATGCATGAATTTTTCAAGACTCAGGTTATCAGCTTATGACACCTGCTTACATAGACCAAAATGGGCAGATTGTAAACCCCAGATTGTTGGGTCCTCAAGTTAGACTGGTTTCACCTGCACCACTATTAGTCAATCCTGGAGCTCAACAGCAAGGTAGATTTTTTTTCCATGGTAACATTAAATTTTGAGTAAGTGGCCGTAATGTAGGATGCATAAATGATTTCACCTTAATTTTAGGAGGCTCGAATCAACTTGCCACTAACAATCCTTTACGTCTCCTCACTACTCAAGGACAACAGACACCACCCGTTGCAAGTAACACACCTTCAACTGGACAGAACAATGCTTTAGGTATTTAGTAATTTTATCAAAGAATGTGAATTTAAAGACTAATAAATTAGCAACATTTAATTTTCAGCTATCGCTTCAACTAAAAAGTGTTTCTTTTTGACTTAAGTTACAATTTTCTAAAGTATTTTTGTTTTTAAATAAACAGGTTATTCTCCAACAAGTAGTTTGGGATATACTCAGGTGACCACTAGTTTGTTCACTCCTATTTCCACCAATCTGGGACTAACTGCACCACAGCAAAATGGTTTCAGCAATGGACTTGGAGGCATCGGATCAAATCCACCTGGAACTATTGGTATGGTGGTCATATACATTTTGTTTGATGCATTTTTTTCTCTTAAAAGGTCTATATCAAATGCTAACTACTTTTTATAGGCCAGAGAAGGGAATCATTTGACATGAAACGACAGCAGCCAATTGCAGGGCTAACTGGCTACTATGCTCCCCTACCTGGGATGGCCAGCTCACCAGCTGGAAGTATTACCAGCATGATGACAGGAGCTCAGTCAATGACGCCACCACCTTCGTTATCTGGCTCAAACTCTAATCTCACGCTTGGTAATATTTCGTTTAAATTTGTATTTAATTTAGTCTAGGCTTAAGTTATTTACTTAATCAAATGACTGCTTTTTCAACCCAGACATTTATAAAAAAAAAAATTAAAATATCCATATATTAAAAAAATTAAAACAATAAGCATTAAACTGGATTATAGAGTAATAGTTTACAATAAAAGGTCATGTAAACTTTGGAAACTTAAAAAATACAACAAATTTACTATTTAAAAGAATTCGTTTAATTCCAATTAAATAAGCTTGTTACAAGTGAGTACCATACACAGGGCTGCCTACTTGTACGGTTTTGCCCGTAACTTTACGATTTTGACACCCAGGTTACGGAATTACGATTTTGCTGCAAAATTACGGTTTTGATTTCAGTAGAGATCAAAATCGACTTTAGTGTAAAAAAAAAAAATTCTGGTGGTAACTTAACTTTATGTTCCCGGTCTGAGTTTTATATTTTAATTTAGCTAGTTATATATCACTAATATCAGTGTGTTATCCGGTTCTAAGGTTCTCAGCCTCTTCCGTAACAATCCTCCCTCCCCCTTCCCTTCCCGCTCTTGTCATGGCTGGCGGCAGTCGTGTTTATATTGTGAACTATTGACCCCGCGATTATGAGTCGGTGTTGTCCGTAGAGAAAAAAAGGGCGTGGCCTAAATCATTGAAAGTCTCATCGCGCAGTCTGGCGAGACATATTTGCTGAGGCGGTATTACGGCTAAATGCCTAAATAGCGAGCAGACATCGAGGCATTTTGTTTGAGATGTGCGAGAAGACAAGATTTTACTAAACAACGAGATCTAGGCTCACCGAGATCAATTACGGATCATATTTTTAAAATTGTTCTTTTCTTCTAGATATTACATTGATAAAATGTAGATTGAAAAAAAAATATTCAAGAAATATGCTAATTCTAAACATCGTCACCCGTCGGCCGCTTACGTTTTCTTGTTTGCGGGAGAAAAAATCCTGACACACACACAGTCGAGGGGTCACTGAGTTCACATTGGTTTAGATATCCGTAGTGTTGGCCTATAACATACGTCATACTACTCATTGCAAGAACAATTCCTATTTGAAATTTTCCATTGTCGCCTTACATTCTGAATTTAACGGCTTTTTTTTTAAAAACTAATTATTAGTCCATAAAATAAAAAGTAGCACGAGTCACCGACTGTCATCATTACGCTGATGAGCTTTACGATCATATAATATGGGTCTTATTTACATTGTATTTAAAAAATGTGTAAAAATACGGAAAGTTACGGAAAACCTATGCTCTTGTTACGGGGAAAACTTTTTTGGGGTAGGCAGCCCTGCATACATAGTTCAGGCGCATCAGGCAGTACTGAAAAGCCCAAGTTCGAACCCAAAATCAAATAACTACTTTGTAGTTTGTTCTTGGAAGGGCAAAAGCTATGGAAGCTCATCTGAAAAGAACTGCAGGCTGAAATAGGAGTGAACAGCTTATTTTGTGTATAAACGAGTTGAAATATAATACTTGACCGGAAATCCCATACAAGAGCAAAGAAGACAGTAATCAGAACATCCGAAAAATCTAAGATGCATTTAGTTAAAAAAGAAACCTTAAAAATTGTATCTCATTCTTTGAGTAATTTGAAAATTAACACAATTTTCAGGATTAAATATTGGAGGTAGACCTTACTCTGCAGCACCTGGTGCTGAAGCAGCAAAGTTCAGAAACCCTGGACTAGTTTCACCTGCAAATGGTCTCTTTGGGAACACCTTTTTTCAGAACAGAACAATGGCTTCAAGAAGGTGATTACATTTTGTAGATTATAATAAAGTTTAGTCTATATATGCTGGTAGCTAGAATACAAGAACATTGTGAATTCCATTATGAAATTTTTACATTTTTGTCATTTTAGTGCCAGTTTATCAAAGGAGGTTACAGGACGTAGCAGACTGCTAGAAGATTTTCGCAATAATCGTATTCCAAATCTTTCTCTTAAGGATTTGGTTAATCATGTAGTTGAGTTTTCACAAGATCAGCATGGTTCCAGGTAACTATTTCACTCCAGTTGTCTTGAACCGTAGTGTAATTTTTTTTCTGTTCCAGTAGTATGCTTTAAGTTGCAAAGCAAATGGAATTATTTTTCTACATTTTAAGGTTCATCCAACAAAAACTAGAACGTGCTACACCACAAGAAAAAAATATGGTGTTTGGTGAGATTCTTTCAGCTGCATACTCATTGATGACTGATGTTTTTGGTAACTACGTTATCCAAAAATTTTTTGAATTTGGATCACCTGATCAGAAGCAAACTTTAGCACAGAGAGTAAGAGGCCATGTTTTACCACTAGCTCTTCAAATGTATGGCTGTAGAGTAATACAGAAAGCACTGGAGTCCATTCCAGCTGATATGCAGGTTGGTATTAATTTCTGTTATCTTTGTGTTGTCAATTTAAAAAAATGAGCAAAGGAATAGCAAAAACCATACTTGTTTTCTTTTTAGGTTGAGATAGTTAAAGAGCTGGATGGCCATGTTCTGAAATGTGTCAAAGATCAAAATGGAAACCATGTTGTCCAGAAGTGTATAGAATGTGTGGATCCAAAATATCTGCAATTCATTATTGATGCCTTTAAAGGCCAGGTAAGCTAAGAAAATATTAACCAGTGCATGACTAGGTACTCATGAAGCTTTAGCCACAATTTTAATACATGTTGCAATTTTTAAACTTAAAAAGCTTTTAAAAGCTGTCTAGTTCTGAAAACGATAAAAATAACAATTTGGATGTTAATTAACTAAAAAATTTTTCCCACCAGGTGTTTAGTCTTTCTACTCATCCTTATGGGTGTAGAGTTATCCAGAGAATCCTTGAGCATTGTACAGGAGATCAAACGGCACCGGTCCTTGAAGAATTGCATGAGCACACAGAACGCCTTGTTCAAGACCAGTATGGAAATTATGTCATTCAACATGTGCTGGAACATGGCCGAATGGAAGATAAGAGCAAAATTGTTAATACTATCAGAGGGAAAGTGCTTTTGTTGAGTCAGCATAAATTTGCCAGGTAAATGAAATTACATAGTAGAGATGTTTGTACAATCCCTTAATTTTGTATCGGACATCAGAAAATAGAACTAGTCATGATGAGACTGTTGACACCTCTTATGAAAGCTGTGATCAGAGCATTACTTACACTGAACTAGTTCAAATAGTAAATTTACATAAACATGATCTTTGTTGGCTGCAATTCTTCATGAGCTGTCTAGCCTTTGAAGAATGTTAAATTCGTTCAAACAACAAATTGCACACTGCAACAAGTAATTTGACTCGTTAGACTAGATAAAATTATTAAATAAACCACTAGCCAAAAGCCTACATGTGTAAAAAAGATTAGCAAAATTTGTATTTATTGGTCATTTCACTGATAATTTGGTATAGTTTATCAGTTTAAGTTTCTGTATTTAGTAAAAGTAGAAAAATTAAAATTCATTTTTTGCTGTTAAAATTGCAGGTGGGGTAAATGTTCTGCTGTAACTAAATTAGTCTTGGCATTTACTATTAAAAGGATAATGAGGACAACCATTTACATTTAGCATTGCTAGACAATATTTTGGACTACTCTTGTTTGAAGTAGCAACACCTTTGATATTATTGCCCCCAAATATGACGTACCCAGAATATTTCTATTGTTTCTATTATTTTTGTGTGTAAAGAGCCTAAGTATAGTGGTACTTTTTGGGTATTCACCTGCAGTTTAGCTGTTTTTAAATTAAATTTTATGAATTTAAAAAAAGAAAAGGTTTTAAGTTAGATAAGTAAGATATTTAAGTATGCATTTTTTAATATTACTAAGTCTGCTGAAAAAATCAGACATTATATCCTTAATGAATACTGCCTAAAAACATTTTTCAATTTTTAAAAAATTTTGTTAAATCCAGCACTTTTTGTGAACTTGAATGATTGAATTGATACTTTTAAAATGATTTCAACGAAAAAGCTGTTTTATCATTCTTAGTTTGTGGAAGGTTACTGGAATGGGATTTTAGTAGTAAATGATTTAAATGTGTATAATTTCATTATTTTCAGCAATGTTGTAGAGAAATGTGTATCTCACTCATCTAGACAAGAACGAGCAATGTTGATTGAAGAAGTTTGTAACATGAGTGATGGATATGGGTAAGTTCTTTATGTTAAGTTGTATTTTTATTCATGTATGGAAAGAGAACTGTTTTATTCAAGTTTTATGTACTGTTAGAATTTGAGTAGGATTTTGCAGATATTCAGGAGTTTACTTTAGCTATAACCCTTTCATTTTCAGACATCATTCAGCTTTGTATTCAATGATGAAGGACCAGTTTGCTAACTATGTTGTCCAGAAAATGATTGATGTTGCAGAGCCACCACAGCGTAAAGTCTTAATGCATAAAATAAGACCACACATTGCTACACTTAGAAAGTACACTTATGGCAAGCATATTCTGGCAAAACTTGAAAAGTTTTTTATGAAAAATAGTCCAGACATGGCTCCAATCAGTAAGTTACTTTAAACAGTTTGGGATAACTTACTATGATTAAATGTATGTTGAAAAGTTTCATAAATGTTTTTAAACTACTTTCAGCTGGAATTTCTGCTAATGGATCAATGTAAGTACAAAGTGGAAAACCCCAATTGATGTAAAAGCACAATATAATGGAAGCAATGATCCTTGGAATATGGAATTGTTTGAATTGTGTTTTTGGACACAGCCATGATGCAGAGTTTATACCAATACTACTGCTGTTTGTATTGATACAAACAAGTGCTTAGCAAGACAATATATCTGAATGTAATATGCTTCACTAGAATGGGATTTTTAACTTTATAGAATATTTGCATGTTAAATGTCTAAATGTCTTACAAACAGGCTTTTCTTCCCTTTCTGTACAATAAAAATTTTGCTTATTTTAATCAAATGTCAGATCAATCACTGTTTGTCCTGAACTAGTATTAGAAGTGAATTAAGTTAAAACATTTGTTTAGAGGTATGGTAGACATTCCTAACAAACTGTAAAAAAAATATTCTTAGCTATTTGCACTATTTATGCTTCCTGTATTTATCAAAGGCCAAAAATGATGTAGGATGTAATATAAGCTAATCTGCAAGATACAATATTTGTATTTATTTGTATTTAAATGTATAAGGACATTTTGTTATTCTGAATCAGATATCTTGTTGATGTAAAAAGCTTACTCTTCTCCTAATTCAATTGATGTCAAAAATGTACACAAATTACCTTTATAGTTGTTGAAATATATTGTGTTGATGTATAAACAAGATGGCATGGTAATTTCCTGTACATTAGTAAATAGACAATTCTTGGTTAGTGTGTAAATAATTTCAGTCATACCTGGTGAGAGATGCTAATTTTACCTCTGCCCTCATGGTTGTGAATGTCATCTAAGTGGAGACTTTGCATACATCATGACTTTTAAGATAGTGGACTAACATGTACCACACTAATCAATTCTAGCATCTTTTTAAATAAATACATGCCTTTTGAAATGTCAAACATGTAAATATAAAGGGTAGTAAAGCAATTGCACTCTAAATTTCATTTGTAAATTGTCCTTTTGTTAATTAGTTATTATATATTTGATAACATCAGTAATGAAGAATCAAATTAAACATTAAAAATTTTGCTTTTTGGATCCAATTAGATATCAGTATTATTTCTTGACTACTAACAGCATAAATATTTTAATATTACCTTTGTAGGTTTCATGATCTAACAAGGAATGTAGTAAAATGAATTTAAACATCTAAGCAGTTCAGTTGTATTTTAATCTACAGTATTAAAATGTACTAGTAATTCTTAAACTCTGGTTTAGTGAAGGTTAGCAATATTTTTGACAAATATCCAGTTTTCGCTGTTTGTGTAGATTGATTTCATAAAAATCTCATGGATTTTTTTTTCCTTTTAAGGTTTAAATGGGTGTTGGCTTTTCTTTTCTTGGAATTAATAAATTGGCATCTATTTTTTTGCCTAATAATCTTTTACAGTGCATAATCTGCAATAGCTATGTTAACTGTATAAACATTTTGTTATTAGAAAAGCACAACTTTGCTACAAACAGTGAGTTTTATTTTGGTATAAAATTATTGGAATCGCTGGGCTAAGTGAAAACATCAATAATTTCTTATATTAGCCACTGTACAGTGTACTATAGTGCTTGTTGGATTTTTGTATTTACAAGAGGCAATATCTAAATTAACCTCTTCAGTTTATGTAATTACATTTACCATTTAATACATGCTTGTTTTAATATTTTATACATTCTTTATTGTATTATTTAAACAAGTCATTTAGTGCAGTGTTTCCCATTATTTGGAATTTTTTGGACCTGCTCTTTGATTTTCATCCCAGTTGTAATCTTTTATGTGCACTTGTTTTGTTTCCCTCTGGGAAGTTAGTTCACTGTCCCAATATTCAGCAAGAAAATATTTAATTATCCTTCATTTCATTAATCCTTTTGAATCTGTTTTTTTTTTGCATTGTTTTTTATTTTAAGAATCTGTTTAAACTTTTTATTGACTATAATCAGAATGTCTAATCTCTATGGTATATATCTATATATATTTATACATATTTTATAAAAATGACATAGGTTTAAGTAGAATGTAGATACTGATTAATACAATGTGTGTGTGCATAGCTCTAACAATATATCATTGTTGTCATTACAATTTATATATATTTTATAATTGAGAACTTTCTCTCTTAATCAGTTTTTTCTCTAAGTATTGTGCCTTTGTGTAGTCTAATGCTTTTTATTGTGTGCATTTATCATTTTTATAAGCAAATGGTTTATGTGGTGTGTACATATTGTCTAGATATTGGTCACTTTTTCTTCCCTTGTGGTGGCTGGGATGTGTACACTTGTACACTTTTTCTTTTATAGTAAATACATGTCCATCTTTTACACAGATTTATGTCAGAAAATAATTATTCATTGTGCAAGTCAGTAACTTAAGTTAGTTTTTTAAAATCATCATTTTAAGTTTTAAAAAATTCTTTTATTGAATTAAATCTTGGTAAAGGGGGTGATATTGACATTTCTTTCTGTTTCCATTTCAAGCAGTAAATGGAATATTTTGGTGAATTGATATTTTCTTCTCCAAAGCAAGTAATTAATAATAGTCAAATCACGTAGTGCTAGCTTTATTTCAAAGATTCCGCATTGGATGCGATTGAAGCACCCTTTGTTTTTAATTCAAAAATTTGTTTTTAAGTGTCAACAGTTGTTAGTGTATATAGAATGAAGCCTACTCATTTTAAGATAAGCTAAAATATAGCTTTTTGTAAGTTAAGAAATTTTCTCAATTAGTTACAACAGCATTGCCTTGTTTTACTAAATCATCAGTAGGGAACATAGATTGCCAGTTAACTTTTGCTACAATTTTCATTGGTCATAGAATTTTTTAAATAAGTACTTTAAACTCATTGTCAGTAGGTCCATTATCCTTGTTTTACTATGGTACATTTTTTTATTTGACTTGAATTAAACAAGAAAGTCATTCCAGTTGTCTATAAGCAAATGTCATGGGTAACCCTATTTCTCTTTGGTCTTGTCAGATAGAAACAAACCATAGTAATATCTAATGGTATGGGATTTCAGAATGGCTTCATTCTGCTTATAACCCATTCTGGGACTTTTTCAAAATTTAAAACTTTAAAATTCATAAGCACAATTTTAATTTACAATAAGGCTAGAATTACTTGTGGAAGAAATAAGTCTTGTTTTATAACAATAACATTCTAGAAATGTGTCTGTTTTCTGTGACTGGACCAAATATCTGTTTTTGTTAAGTTTTTCATACAAGTAAAACCATGTACATGTTCTCAAGTTTCCAATGCTAAATGCTTTGTATGAAAAATTTACCATCACAGCTTGTAATTTAGTAAACTCCTTTCAAACACTGCCTATGCAAATAAAACAACAAAATGTACATTTGAGTCATAATTGAAATGTTTTATTTTTATTTTAAAATCAGATTTAAATAGATATACATCATGTTGCCAAGCTCTGAGCTCAAAAGAGTCAGCCTGCTTAGTTGTAACTAAAAGAAAAAAACTGTAAATAGTCTATTGCAAACTTATATATATAGGAAACTGTACAGAAAAGCTTTTTATGTACCCAATTAAAATTTGATTGCCTTTTTTTTTTAACTTGGACCAGATTTGACTATGCTGTTAATATTCAGAGGGTTATTTACCAGGATAATAGAATGTATTTCCAATGTCGTGAATGCTACTGCCGTAGATTAGATTATTAGGAGTATTTGGAAGATAACTATCACCACCACCAGTTAAAAACATAAGTTTAGCTTTTTTTCTGGTCTAAATTTCCACATACTAGCCATTTTTTAGTTTCTATTTTAACAATAGCACTAGTTTCAGAATTAAGAAAAAATTAGGGTTTGATTATTCTCAACATTCCCCAGGATGAGGAAAGTTTGTAATTACACATCCAGCAGTATTTGCCTATATACTAAAACTATCTACTCACCTCTGTGTTCACATCTGAATTGTAATTAAGTAGGTAAAGTTTGTAGATATTTTCAATGTGACATAAAAATTAGTTAAACATTCCAGTAGACACTAGCCGTTTTTAAGAAATAAAAACAATTTAACATGCACATAGATCCGTAATTGTAGGATAAGTGAATTTTTTTGTGCAGACTTGCTGACATTTTTGAAGACTTTAAATTGAAACAACCAACTTTCCAGTGGGCTAATGTTTAGTGTAAGCTTCATTTTTGACATTTCACATCACTATTTAACTAAAGGTGCATTCATGAAAAAGCATTTTAAATGTACAGTTTGTCTATTTTAAAAGAACCAAATTAGAGGCATACATGATGTATCAGGAATCTTTTTATGTAAAATATGTATTGTAAACTTAATACAGAAATTATGCCCTTTAAAAGGAAACTATTGCAATTATTTTGTGTAAATTATGTAATAACTTTCTGAAAATTTTAGTTTCAAGAATGTCTAAAATCTGAAATTAATGTTTGATACCGCTTTGAATTCTTACTATAACTAAAAGTGTTAACATTTTTTTAAGATAATAAAACCAAATGTAGATCTATTTCAGCATTTAAAACCAGATCATGCTAGTGTAAACTATTCTGTACATACATATTCCCGAAGTAAACAAATCCATGTGATTTATTTAATGAAAATAAAAGCTGTAAAAATGAACAGAATTTAAGTCAGATGTATTGGGTGTTCAGTAACAGTCACTGTTAATAGTTTTGTACAATAAATCACCATCATTTGTGAATACTTTCTTTACTATACAGTCAGTAGATTTATAAATGAAAAAGTAAAACCTCATTTCTTGTATAAATTGTACATCATTCAACACCACAGAAATATTGTATAAAAGTTTTATATATATATATATCATAAGTATACAGTTAGTATTGAAGTTTTTTAAAGTAAGTTGCATTTTAAAAATGGACTGTAATTATACTGTATGATTTGATACAACTGTAATTTAGTGTTGAGCAGATGATTTTATTTATTTGACATTGAGAATCTGTCACCCAAGCATTTGTTAATAGTGGTGGTTGGCAGGGTGCAGAGCATTCACGGTAGCCTTGGTATCAGCTGGCATGTTGTATATTTTACTTGTACATGTATCACAATTTTAAATGTGCTCAGTGGAACAACTTCTGTAATGCTTTTGAATCTTAACAGCTATTATCTGATTTTATTTTTAGCTTGTCCATGCTTCTAAAGTTCTAGTGACCTCCAGCGAACTTAATTATTTTGATTTATAAGGTTAATTGGATTCCATTTAAAAAGCTAATTAAATTTTGATTTAAAGTTTTGAACTAGTATGTAACATGAGAAACTAAGACTGTTGTACTGATGTCAGTTTGGGATAGCTTCCTGGTAACTGTTTAAACATTCAGCCTTTCAAATTTTAATTGACTAAACCTGAAGACATTCTTTGTTGAATTCATCTATGCGTTGACGCACTTGTGTATACAGAAAGCAAATTTATGTCTACAAATAAAAATCCCTCCTATTCTTTCATTCAATATTTTCATTAACAAATGAAAATTTCAAAGCACTAGTGTACATACATAGAAAAAAAAATCTTGTTTTCTATTAGTCCATTTAAAAAGGTTTATTTTTATTATATTTTTATCATTACTGAAACATTTGCATAGATCCATATATTAAAATAGAATACTTGCAGAATTCAGTCAGATATGTCCAACTAGCATGAGAATGTTATCCAGCAAATGTGGTGTTGCCTGTCTTTTACTGTCTAATGTTTACTATTGTGTGGGTCTGTTTGATTTCATTAATTTTTTTTATTTTTGGGGATTTTCCTATATAACTCTCTTTACAATGGCAAACTTGTCCTATTCTACAGCTTAATTTTTTTTCCTTTAAGAAAAAAATGCTTTTACAGCTTATTTTGTACTTTACATTTTCATGAAGAATTTAGTTATTTTCTTAACACTTTAAAAAATAATTTAATCAGTTACAAACCTGTATACTGGAGTTGCAGTAGATTTCCCACATTTTAAATTTGAAAAGATGAGCCATTGAGAACATGGCAATGCTGCTATAAAGGTCTAGCAAGGCAGTCTTGTTTGCAATCAAAGTAGATTAACACAGTTGTGCTTCTGTTACAAAACAATGGTTTTCTTTATTTTTTACTGATACTTTGAATAATTTCACAGGAAGTGGAATTGTGACAATCATTACTTCAGTTTTTTTTGGTGTTCATTTTGAAATTAATCAAAAGGCCTCAGACAGACGCCTAGTGATTAAATTTTTTTTAATTTGGTTTGAAAATTTCTTAGAATTTTTAGTTGATGAAACAATTCACGTTCTGTTTATTCTAGATGTTAAGGATAATTATTCTTTTAAAAACCTTTAATTGGCTTTCACAAGATTTTTTGCTGACTAATTATTTCCAGTTAAATTGCACCTTTCTTTGCCAAAACTGTTTAAAAGTATTTTTTGTTACATCATGTTCTGCGGTTGAAGATGTGTAAAAACAATCTGCACTTTTGAAAAACAACAAAATAAGGCCAACCTGAGACTATTTCTCCCTTCCATAGAGCTATTTAAATGTAAGGTGTGTACACGTTAAGAGTACTAATCCCGACTACTTTTGTGCACAAATCAGACGTTGCCGAACTACCCAAAAGCTTACTCTGTTTGGGTTGAAGTACCATCCTCCCTGCAGCTTACATTGTTTACTTGCTACCATTAGATTTCTCCCATTTGTTTTTTTCTTTTCCATTTTTCAACCACCCCAACTTTTATGTACATAGTGTGTGGGTTTAATAGCTCTATATACATATATACAATATTTTCCCTTATGAAATATCACATCAAATAACATTGAATATATTATACTGAGGTGTCTAATTTTGATTGTATTTTAAAAGTAATTTTTTTTCAGACTGCACTTGTTTTCAACAAAATTCATATGGGAATTTCAATATTAGCATTGTCGTGAAGTTACTTGTATAGCAAGATTCACATTATCAGAAATAAAATGTTTTCATATGAATTTATTTTGATATTTTTTTTTTTGGATTCCTTTGTGTTGATTGTATTGTGGGTATGTAAACTTGTTTATTGTGAGTTTATTGAGCACGCCCAGCTCTGGACAATCATCCTATAGAAAGTAAAGATAGAACGCCAGTCACAGAAAGGGGCGTTTTATTCTGTACATAAAATCTATTTCCCTATATACTATACAGATAAAGTGAAATATTCCGGATTCGAGAATCCTATTTTTTCCCTTTCTGGATTCGCAGGATTTGAGTAATGACATTTCCGGGTTGGCATTTAAAAAAAATAATTCAGATATTTTTAAGCTTGAAAATTTTGGCATTCAAGAAAATATCGTCCGACGTGTTACTTTAAAAAATCATAATTGAATATTTTTGTTTACCCCGATAGCTTTTTTAAGACCCCGATTGAGGGATTTTCCTTGCTAAAGGAATACATCCTAATAAAAGTTTTTTTTTTATTGGTAGGTTGATTCTGCCGAAAACATAACTTATCACTAGTTAATATTAAAGCTGTTGAGGAGGTAGATGCACCCACACAATGGAAAATTAACTATAAAATTCACAAAAAAAACCCCAAAACATACACATGCATTTTTTACTATAGTAGGAGCTTAAAGCACTTAAAAGAAAGTTAACTGTATGATGTAAAAAAAAAATTACAAATAGTTTGACCCAGAATTTTTAAAATTTCCAAAACTTTTCCAAAATTTAGGCCTTTGTTGCCGAAAATTAGAAAAGAGATGCATAGCATGGTTATCTATGGCTGAATACCAGATTTTCCTTGTGACAAAATTTGAATTTTTTAAGAATCTTTTGAAGTCCGACTAATCTGGATGAACTTTGAAATTTTCTAAAAAAATTAACAAGCAATAGACTTAAGGAAACTGCCAAGTTTTAAATTCTCAATTTATGGTTTCGGAAAAATTGTTTACAATAAAAATAAATTTTGCTTTATTTACACAAATTACATGGCGTGGTCGAGTCGGTAAAGCTCATGGTTGCTACATGAGACAACTCCAAAATTTAACAACTGCTGCCTTGTATTTTGTTCTTGGTTGGACAAAGGCTATGGTAGCAAATCGGAGTCAATGGCCTCTCTGGCGCATAAATAGTTGACACGTATACTTAATGGTATTGGAGGGGATCCCTTCCAACACTAAAATTTAATAACGAAGAAGAAGAAGACGTATTGTATTATAGCTGTAGAGTCATTACATTTTTTTACAACCACGGTAAAAAATTGATGTGCATGACTAATATCTCTCTCTTTTTTGGTGAATTGTTTTGTTTCTCTCGCTTAGTGTATCTGGGTGTATCTGCTCTCTAAGCTAAACCGGGTCAAGATTTTTTCGTCACGTTAACACCTCTACACCTCGTCACATTCAAGGATGTGACGTCATTTATTGGCAACAACTTATTCTCCTGCTTCACTTCTTATGTAAATTAAAAATGTATTTGGTTTAATTTCGTTTCTTTTTCGTTTCACACCCTTAAGTTTTCTATCTGGTCATGAATTCGGGAGTTTAACCTAATTGTATAACTTTATTTTAGCAACGGACAGATTTACAGTGACTCCCTTTGATACGATTCTGCACACTTAAATAAAGATTGGGCGCATCGATAAATAAAATAATGCAAAAAACCACTGTCAGGACACCTACGGCAATGAAACCTAACGCATGCGCAGAAGTGCGTTTGTCTTCAGCGCTCGTGTACCTCAGCAGCGCCACAGACGTGGTTTTAGCGTTTATTGTCAGCTCGTCAACTATGGAACTGAGCATGGCGTCCTTTTGCTCGTTGGTTAGATTAACCGCCGCCACATTTGGCGTGCAGGTGGGTGTGGAGGTTGTCCCGGCTTCCGGCGTAGAGCTGCAAGGCAGTGTGGGTAATTCTGTTGGTTGTGCGGACACCGTCAATGTTTCTGTAACAACAAAGGGAAATAACTGTTGGTGCTTTTTATCAACGTTATCTGAGGTGCCATTGTAATCTCTTCACTAGTATTATCGATGATCTTATAATGATACTATACGACTACGGATCGTGTGCATGTTATATAACACAATATGGACATTTTTAGACCCACCCTCACGACATAAAAAAGTTATACAATATTTTCATAGACCATGTGAAGCTCTATGTAAGCCTACCTACCCCCCCCCCCCATCAAATGAAAAAAATTCTTACCAGTTGTACAAGACGATGATAATGACACTTGAATACCTTCAATGAAAATGTAGCCATCTGTAAAATAACAAAACACATTACTCTTTATTAAATAGTATAGGCCATTAGGCAATACAAAACAATATCGTATCAAATTATCTCTGCCACCCCCCCCTCCCCGTTAATTGTTGGATCAAGGTTAGAGTTAGATCTCGGGCTTTAAAACATCCAGGTCGAAGCAGTTCATCATAGATTAAGAAACAAAATACTCACCTATAGAAAAAATGTATAATTTTATATTGGTTCCAGTGTCCGCCCCCGGAAGTTTCAAGTACCTCCGGAAATTTCAAGTAATCTGGAAATTTCAAGCTCTCCCCCCCCCCCGCCCTACATACGTTTTAAGTAACCCCGAAAGTGTCAATTACCCCCAGGAAAATTTCAAGTACCCCCTGAAGCTTCAAGCGCCACTTCCACCAGAAGTTTCAAGTATCTTCGGAAGTTTTAAGTACCCCCGAAAGTTTCAAGTGCCCCTGGGAAATTTCAAGTACCCCTGAAGTTTACCACTCCCCCCCCCCCCCCCCGGAAGTTTCAAGTACCCTCGGAAGTTTCAAGTACCCCCAGAAGTTTCAAATATCCTCGAAGTTTCAAGCACTCCCCCCCCCCACCACTGAGAAAAATATCTGAAAGAAACCTTGCTTACCTGGTAGACTGCTAGTAATGACAGACGTGTCGCATGCATTGAACGTTCTGGTTGTCGACTGGTCAATGGATGCCAAATCATTCACGGAAATGTTAGAAACTTCCGCTGGGAAAATAAGTTCAAGCTATTTTATCATTTTATTCAACAAAGAAATACAAAAAAATCCCGAATATCTGTAGTAATAAAATAACAAAGACGACAATAAATCGATGTGTTTGTCAACCGTAGCAAACAGTTTCTTCAAGGCATCTCTTCTGGAAGGGGGAGGGACAAATCCCCCTCCCTACTCCCGAAAAGGTCCACCGAACAAAATAGAATTTATATAGAAAATATATACTTTATATATACTTTATCCCTGTCTCTCTCTCCCCCCCCCCCTATGAAGTTTTAGTCCGCCCCCTCGAAGATTTCAAGCGTCCTCCCTGAGAAAAAAAAAACTCTGGAAGAAACTCTGGCAGCAAACATAATCTTCTTCTGCAAAGAGTTCCGGAAGGTCTGCTTCACATACTCCAACTTTACACAAAATAATCGTAACTTCTCACCTATGATCCGGTCGGATTTGACGAAAGATTTGGTTGTAGAATTTATAAGCGCCAGAACACAGCCGGTCTCGTCTGTAAATGACGTCATGAAACACCCAAAGACCCTGTCGCAGAAAGCGTTACAGTCCTCGCTAGTTGGGGCTTGTGGTCGGACCGGGTACAAGGCTATGTCCACAGGCTCATAGCCCTCAGTTTTTGAAAAGTCTGGCCACATTTAAATCCAAAGTTGAAAAGTGTAAACATTGTTAATTATTTGATTGGTTACAAAATGCTTTAAATGTCTGGGTGCTATGTTGTCCCCTCCCCTTTCTTGATTGTACTAGCCTTACTGGTAATGATTATATTATCCGTACTGGTAATGATTATATTAGCCGTACTGGTAATGATTATATTAACCTAACTGGTAATGATTATATTAGCCTTACAGTGATTATATTTACCTCCTCCAATAAACCCATTTCTCCATTAATTTTATTTCCCCCGTCTTATTCTACTAGCCCCACTAAATCTATTTGTACCCTCCCCTCAGAGTTTCTTCCAGACATGGGGCTTACCCCCCCCCCCCCGAACGAAACGGAATCTATATACAAAACATATACTTTACCAGTGTCCGCCCCCACCTTCCCCGGAAAATGTCCGCCCCCCCCCATATCAAGTGCCCCCACGGAGAAAAAAGTCTGGAAGAAACATTGCTTCCCCTCCCTCAAAAAGTCCTTTTGGGGATAGATTAAAGCAAAAAAAAAAAAATTAAACTGTGCTTACTGTAATATTCCATTTTTGTACATAAGAAATATTGACTGATGGCACAGTTTTTCTTGTTCCATTTCAGGTTCAATTTGTCGAGTCTAAAGAGAGAAAAAAAATGTAAATTTTCAATAGTAGGTTAATTTGTTATATTATCGCATGGTACTGCGTAGCTAAGTTGCAGAGCTCTGAACAGCTACCCCGAAACTCTCGAGTTCCATTTCAGGTTCAATTTGTCGAGTCTAAAGTGAGAAAAAAATGTAAATTTTCAATAGTAGGTTAATTTGTTATATTATCGAATGGTACTGCGTAGCTAAGTTTCAGAGCGCTGAACTGCTACCCCGAAACTCTCGAGTTCGAATCCAGGTTCAAGTCCCTGAGTCGAAACAGGTGAGGTTTACTTGCCTCATTTACCGTCATATTCGAAAAGGGCATGATACTAAATGATGTCACCAGCGCCAGGTTATTTAGCGCCCTAGGCAAAACTTACTAAAACGCCTTTTCACACAAACTGATTAATAAAACATATGTATAAGAAAACAATTAAAAGTGACATTTTTATTTGTTATCAATTGCATACACGTTATAATTAGACATCAAAATCAAATTTTACTTGCCTCCTTCGTCTCAAAAGTTTGTACTCATTCCTTCAATTACAGTTTGCAAGTTTTTATTGAAATTGTTGCTAAGTCCACTAGTCTATTTTGTACTTTACCGCCACTCCCCCCCCTCCTTCGAAAATTTAAATCCCCCCCCTCCTCCCGGGAGAAAAAAAAAGTCTGGAAAAAACACTCAAAAAAAAAAGTTCTTGTAGTGTTGGGCTCTCTGCAGTTCTCCCAAGGTGAGTTCCAAAACGAATATTACCTGTTCTAAGCTTAACTGTCTTTAGGTATAATTGTTAAATATCTGTATAATGTGATTATGTAACGATTTTTTTTGTTTTTGAAAAATAAAAGGTTATAAATGTTATAGATTCCAGCCTAAAATTGTTTTATATTAATCCTTTAGGAGAGGGTGAAAAATATGAAAATACAATGAATTAGATGTTTAATTTACGACTAAGACTGTATGTCTACTAACATTAAGTATTGCAATATACAACGGCTACAGATGTATTTGATAATGCTAAAAAACCTACCAAACTATTTCGTTTAGAACTTAAGCTATATATATTTTTTACAATAGCAAATAATAATTTAAAGTTGTATTTATATGTAAACGGTCAACCTAAGGTGCAGGAATTTGCAATGAATGTAAAGTTAAGCAACGAATTATCTTCCATTTAAAAATCCAAAGACCAAAATTTCATTCAAGGGAAATAACTTTCACAAGAATAGCTAAATTAACCAAGTGTAACTAAGACATGTTTGAAAAACATAATAAAACGCTCTAAATTTCATTACGTAATGATTATAACAAATCTTTTATATTAGCTATGTTAGATTGTGAAAACAATATCTTCTACTTGTTGAATACTTAACTGTAGATTTAGTTTGAATGTCCTGGTAGCTTTATCGTAACATACTTCTATTCAATTTTGATGACACTCAATTATTTGTTGCTCTTGATCTCCACTCATTGTAAAGGTTTTTCCGTCCCCTAATTAGAGGGACACCTTTCAAAAAATAAAACAGGCTTATCTGTTTTAGACAATGCTAGCATTATTGATTAAATATTAAAAAAAATTATAATTTGAAAAAACAAAGTTTACGTTTAGTTATAAATTCCATCCCATTTAATATTATACATTAATACTTTAAGGGTGGTAATATAGATTCCTAAAAAAAACTAAAGATTTTTTCAGCTAGAGGACCCCCTACCTTTCTTTGTAGTGTGTTCCGGACTGAATTGAAAGCATCTTACGTACGATAAACTAGACTACTCAATATACTCTACTACATTCACAACACATATCAAGCTTTGATACTTAAACATAACTAGACACGACGCTCCAGAACTACGACACCAAACTCTACAAACGGTACTTCCAATCAACAACGATTTCATTGGACCCACTACTCTTTAACAGTCAATAGAATTCAATACCTTAATACCACAAGAATGAATACTCCCGTACTCCAAAACTACATACTTCATCACCCGCATTCTCAATTCTCTATTACCAATCCGATTCCACTAGACCAGGGGTCGGCAACCTGCGGCTCGCGAGCCGCATGCGGCTCTTTTGATGTCGTGATGCGGCTCTTCAGCTCCATGCACAAATATTAACAATTATTTTATTTTATTTTTAAAACACATACAAATATTGTTCTGCAATACTCGGCAATGAACGATAAAATAATAAACACTCGCTATCCCATTAGAATATTTAGTTACGCCCTATTTCAATTTACTTCCTATTTACTTGTCTATTGCTAATTGCAACATTCAACTTCATGGGGAAGATCACAAAAGAAACTAAACGAGCTAAAGAAAAACTGCACGGAAAGGAAAACTCAGCCTATGCCTTGCTTGAAGAAGATGATTGTTTCGAAAACAAATTACTTCGTTTTGTTGAAAACCCGAAGAGCGGCAAATTACTTTATTTTAAAAAATCTGAAACAAAATATGAACAACCCAACACTACTATTAACACGAATCACTTCAGCATTACTATAAACAAAATGAAGGATGGGTTCACTGAGATATTTGAGCAATTCAAAAGAAATGAAAGTACTCTGACCTTCACAGTCAAAGTAGATTCTCTCAACACAAAATTAAAAGAGATTTGGAATTGATGCTGGTTCGCTTCAAATCAAATTGCTAGATTTGAAAACCACACATTTGTGGAGCGGTAAGCTCACATATCTCAAGAGCAAGTTTGACGATTTGGAGGCCCAGAACAACATGCATGTTTCACTGTACAACTGGACAGTTCTAAAAGAAATGTCGCGAGTTTACTATTGTTTAACAAGTTGAAAAAATCACATAGTTTCAAATATGTAGCTTCTTTATTTTAGGAAAGTAGTTCTACCTTCAATATAGTAAAATAAATTAACCTTTCTTACAATGCTCCGCTCTTTTCTCGTAAACATAAATCTTAATTCTTCTATACACCACAGCAATGTTGCAACTTGATAGATCTGTATTATATTGGTTTCTTTTTGTTACTTCCAATATTTTAGTTCCAAACAAATAAGGGAAACAACTTCAAACTATGTTATCAAATTAATAAATAAACCAATACCCCAGTTGAAATATAAAACTCATGTAAATCCTTGTTGATTTTGTTTACTTTTCTATAAGTATTAATAAATGTTATGTAAAACATTTGTCTGCCTTTAAAATGTATTGATATTAATAGAAAAAATATTTTTAATTAAATTACGAAACTCATAACTATGTAAGATAACTTCGCGTTAATAAAATAAATTCCTTATATTTAATCAATTTTTTTGTTCACTGTTTGTTTCTCAAAAAATGTATAGATCTACTTTCTCACAACTGTGATGTGGTCAGCCCCGTGGCAGTGGTTCCATGCTTTCTACTACCGAAGTGCATATTTTATTTATTATTTTCGAATATTTTCAAAAGTAGTTTTAGTAGTAGAAAGCATTTTTGTATGTGTCAGTGTGCATTAATTTGACTTGAGTGACATAGTTTTTTAGTTATTAGCTTCTAACTTGGGTAGGGATAGTGCTATAGTTATATAATTTTATTTTATTATTCTATCAGAGCTAGCTAAAATACTTTATTATGTTTTGTGCGACACATATGTATGTTTTTATATGAACAAATAGTATTTTATAATTTAAAAAAAAAATTAAAAAAAAAATCTACAAGATTTCTTG